ACTGTTTTAAGGGCCTTAATGGATCATCTCATTTCATTTTCATGGTGCTATGGCTTAGATTGCTATGGTATACCAATATTGTAAGTAAGGAAACAGGCACGGAGATGTAAGTAACAATATTAGAACCGATATTCAAACCCAGATCTGGGTAATGCCAAGCTTAGGCTGTTGACCTCATGCTACAGCAAGGCCCCTTAAAAGAATTTGACTCTGAATGAATTTCTGCTCCCTTCTTTTCTTGGTCCACAGGAGGACACTGACTGTGTTCCTCCTGGTTCACTTGGATGCCATAGCATCTCTCATCTTCATCCCTTTGGAGGGATGAGGGAGATCTGGGACATCCCTGCCAGCCTGTCCCTGCTATGGGCTAGCGAGGACTTCTCACCCAGCTGCCAGGCTTTAGACCATGAGGGTGGGCAAAGATTTTGCATTACCTGCACCTGGCGGCTGTGGGGGGGACACCCACATCAGGTGCTCTGTTCACAGACCAACAGAACTCTTTGAGCAGCTATGCTAAGGCACTGGGCTCACTCACAAGGTTCATAGCCCTTCTGACCTACACCTCCCTCTGAGGAGCACACCTTCTCATTCTCCAGGTCCTTTCTCCTGAGAACACAGCCCACCGGGAGAGAGGTCAGCAGACACCTCTGATCCTTTCATGTCCATCATGCCTGATGCTCTGGGATGGAGGGTGGGGGGCTGGAGTCATGGCCCTGGAAACGTTACAGATCATTGACTCTAACTCCCTATGGTGGTTCTAGAGCTGTGTCCACAGTTCTCTGATATGATGCCCCGCAAGAGGCAGAGTTCAGGCCCCTTCTTCCTGAGTATAGACTGGACTTAGTGACCAGCCCACCAGGGATAAGAATGTGGCAGAACTGATGAACATCACTTCTAAGATTAGCTTATAAAAAGATGGTTGCTTCTGTCTTGGGTTCTCCATCTCTCTCTCTGTCTCTGTCCCTCTCTCTTGAATCACTTGTTTTGGGGAAAGCCAACTGCTTTGATGTGACGCAGCCTGAAGAGCAGCCCCTGGGTGAGAAACCAAGGTTTGCCAGCAGTTGCATGAGTGAGCTTGGAAGCAGTCTTCTAAGCCTGCCAGCAGCCCTGGGAGCCAGCCTGGAAGCAGCGGCTCTCCCAGCTGAGCCTCGGCTGACTGCAGCTTCAGTGGGTGGTGGGTGGTGGGTGGTGGGCATCCTGACTGCAGCCTAGGGGGATTCCTGGAGCTGAGCCCACAGCTAAACCTCAGCCGGATTCCTGACCCACCGTGAAACTGTGGAGAAAGCAGGAGATAGTGTCCGGTGTGTGAAGCCACTACCCAGGGGCTGTGTCAAGCTGCTCCCTCTCACTGTGCAGCCACTGAAGAGAACTGAGGCCCTGCTGGGGGAAACCACCTACCCATTTCCACAAATGACGAGCTGGTTCTTGAAATGAACTTAAATATTTTGACTTCCTGTCTAGTTCTCTTTCCACTACATCAGATTCCCTCTGGCTCTCATTTCTACTAATAGACGAGAAGAAATTAATCTGGCAAAACTCTGGGAGTACCCCCCTCTGCCCTACACCGTGAGCACAGGTCTTTCTGTTCTGAGTGGTGTGGACATAGCAAGTGATGCCCCAGGGCCTAGGGTTTGGTGCTGTTTGAGAGGGTAATGGCCCCTAATCTGCCCCCCTTCCCAGGGTTCATGTTTGGCTGACGTGGGAAGTCCCACCCACGTGCATATAAATTTTGAATTTAATACAGAATTTACCACCCAGAAATGACTATGTGAAGTAAGTGTAATTTGCCTGTGTTTATTTATTTTTATCATGAACTTAGGCAAAGTTTATGGAACAAAAAAAAAAAAAGAGCCTGATAATCATGAGACGTAGCTATTTTACATCTCCCTGAATTCTCTTTGTTGGTGTTCTTTGCATAGCTGGAGTGGCCTGTGCACACTATTTAGAGTTTTGCCTTCCTCACTCAGCAAGTGTCTGTTGTGCCCCAGGCCCTGTTCCGTTGGGAGAGCCTGCTGTGCCTGGCACTTTCTCAGACCACCCTCCGTTTGCCCAGCTTGCCCCCTTGCCTTCGCTGTTTGTGGGGTAACCCCAGTCTCTGACCCCTGGCTCCACCCCAGGCCCTCTCTGCCTGGGTCACTCACTGTATCTCACGGTGTGGCCGACCGGGAGACTTGGTACGCTCCCTGCCTGCACTGGGGGCTGGCCAGTGCTCAGGAGGCTGCGTGGTCTCCAGTCCTTCTGAATCTGGAGGAGGGGCTGAGGAATCTGCCTTTTTACACTTTCCTCTGGAGGTACTCAGGACCATCTGTGAACTACAGCTCTGCTTCTGCCTGTCGTTTACCATATGGAGCTCTTCATAACAGCTTGCTTGGCCTGGTTTTTAGCAAACTCCACAGAGACAGTCAGAAGTAACCTTCAATTTTCCAAGCCTGAGCCCTCAGCTGGGCTGGGTCTTCCCGCCACCCCACTGATCTCCTCACCATCCACCTTTATCTCCTCCCGTGACCTGCTTTCACTGACAGCAGCAGGAGGTCAGAAGAAGCCAGGAGGTAGTTCTCCAATGTTAGTCCATTGGCTTCCTGATGGAAGCCCTAGAGGATGGCTTCTGAGGGAGGAGCTGGCGATTATCTATCAAAGCGCATGCACGCTCTGTCACTTAGTCATATCTGACTCTTTGTGCTCTATAGACTGTCGCCCACCAGGCTCCTCCGTCCATGGGATTCTCCAGGCAAGAATACTGGAGTGGGTTGCCATGCCCTTCTCCAGGGGATCTTCCCGACCCAGGGATCAAACTCGTGGCTCTTACATCTCCTGCATTGGCCAGTAAGTTCTTTTACCACTAGGGACACCTGGGAAGCCCGTCAACCACAATAAGGGCTGAGGATTCACTACCGGCCTCTGTGAGGTAGCTTTGTGTGTGCTGTACATTAGGGGCAGGTGACAGAGCGGGAGGTCTGCAGCAGGGACCATGGGGTGAACTTGAGGACGAGGCTCCCATAGCATCCTTTCATTGCACCCTCCCACTCTGTCTAAGGGGCCAGCTCCCCAGCACTTCCAATCTGCTGCTTCCCCCAAGTAAAGGAAACCATCCCTGGCCTTTCTGGGGCCCACACGATGTTCCTGCTTCTCTCTGAGAGCGAGCATGTCCCCACTCTGGGCCTCAGTGGTCCCAGACATACATGGGGGCTCCAAGGAAGTACTTTTCAGCTCTGAGATTCTGTCATATTTGCTGCAGGCAGGAGTCTCTCTGTACCTCCTAGATCCTGTCCCAGATGTGACCACATTTTCTCCCAGGGGAGGTCTTGAACCCACAGCCTTGCAGGCTCCATTTATTCTCCTGTAAATAAAGAACAAAGCAACGCTCCTGCCCCCAAGTTCCATCAAACCTGTCAGGTTGAAGTGTGTATCAGAGGGGTGACTGGACGAGAGGGGCTTAGTAAGTGCCACAGGCTGCAAGCTTGCTGCAGACATCTGTTTACTTTCACACTCTTGAGTGCCCTCCAAGGGAGGCTGGGGCCATGGAGCAGCAGTCAGCTCCTGGCTTTGTAGCTCTGCTTTGAATTCAGGCTTGTCTGAATTCTCCCCAGGCGTTCCTCCTAACCCCCTGCCCACTGAGGAAGAGCCCCACCAGCTCTGTGCACCAGTGGCGGCACAGTGGGAGATGTGATCAGAATCTAAACACAGCCTGCTGAGACAACTGGAAGTTTGACACGGGCCCAGGCAGGAACCCCCAGTCCTAACAGCTGTTCTCCCCCACGTGACAGACAGACTCAGCCACAGCCTGGAAATAACATGCTAGGTGTCATCTATGTCACCTGCCACCCTCTTGTCACCTCTGTCTCCCCTGTGATGACATTTGCGGTCTTGTGAGATGTCAGTCAAGGGAGCAGTCATTGTTCACACAGAAACCAACCCCGGTGTCCTTCGTCACATGCTCGCTTCCCTCTCAACAGTCGCCCAGACTCCTCGGCTGCCCTTGACAAGCCCTCGGGCCCCCCATGAGAACAGACAGAACCCCATGAGGGAGTCAGGCCACAGACTCCTCAGACTTAGGGCCTTTGGTCTGGATCTGAAACTGTTCCATTAATTTGATACTGACTTCGGTTTTCCCTGGTAGCTTAGCTGGTAAAGAATCTGTCTGTAATGCAGGAGACCCTTGTTCGATACCTGGGTCAGGAAGATCCCCTGGAGAAGGGAATGGCTACCCACTCGAGTATTCTTGGGCTTCCCTGGTGGCTCAGATGGTAAAGAATCTGCCTGCAATGAAGGAGACCTGGGTTCGATCCCTGGGTTGGGAAGGTCCCCTGGAGGAGGGCATGGCAACCCACTCCAGTATTCTTGCCTAAAGAATCTCCATAGACAAAGATGCCTGGTGGTCTACAGTCCATGGGATCACAAAGAATTGGCACATGACTGAACGACTAAGTACAGGCACATGTCCAGAGCTGGGGACTAATCCCATAATTCCTGATTTTTGCAGAGGGCAGCAATAGACCCCAAAACAGAGTGGACACAAGGAGCAACCATGAATGGGAGAGAACAGTGAAGGCTGGATCTGACTCTGAAAGCCAGGGTGGGGAATGGGACAGAGAAGACTGACCTCTTTCCAAAAGAAGATGATCCAAAGATGTGATTGTCACAAGTGTATGATCAGGGCCATGATTGACATGAATGTTCTCATCCCGGCTCTGTCACCCTGGGCAAGTCATGGACTGTGGCTGGGCCTCAGACATATTTGCAGAATGTCAGGCTACACTGATTGACAGCCAAGTGTCATCCCAGCATTTATATTCTATGTTTTATTTCTATTCTGTGAGTGTCCAGTTTCCAAAAGGGTATGTTCGAGGAAGGAGTGCCTGGGGAGACAGGAAGAGGAGCCTGGATGGCGAGTGTCCCAGGGGAGTGTGCACGGGGTGCTATTTCCCAGGATCAGAGAATGGTCTCTTCTGACCCTCGGAGAAGCTAAGAGAGTCCCCAGCTGGAGTGTGGCTGGACCAGGGCTGGGTTCACACTTTGCTCTGTTCTTTCTATGGAATCATCTCTGCCCTTCCCCCTCTGGCTCCACATGTCAAGACCCTGCCCTCCTCTAAGCCCCTTTGCCGTGTCATCTCCTCCACGTGGCCTTCCCTGGGGCTCCTCCCACCAGAACCCCTCCAGCACTTAATCCGTTCTTCTCTTGCCCCCTTCACTTCTTAGACTAGAGCCATTCTGGCTGCCCCAGTGGCCCAGGAAACCCCATGAAGCCCGGGTTTCGACAGGATAAGTCATTCTCTCCCAGCCCAGCACGATGAATGACAGCGATAGGTTTCATTGAGTGTGTAATTGCAGTTACTCAGACGCCTCAATGTGCGAGCCCCCCGACTCTGCCCCCAGCCCTCTCCAGGTCTCAGAGATGAGACGATGGAACCCCCAGCTGAGCCCCTGGAGTATATGTGCCCGTACAGTCAGGCCCACGGCCCAGCACACAGGCGGCTGCGAGGGAAACACACTGTCTGTTACACTTTAAAGGGGCCCCTCCTGCAGGTGCTCCTTGATCAGGCAGGAGAACGGCGGACAGGAGCCCCTGCACTCGCCTGTGGAGAGGAGTTTGCTGAGGATGCTGAGGACTCCAACTTCCGAGTTGTGGCGACTGTAGCCCCTTCATCTTGCCATGTCCTGTTTTCACCTACAGCAACCCGAGGTCAGAAGAGGAGACTCTGTCATGGATCATGGATCATGCTCCCGGTGCATTCACTTCCTGTTAGAAGCCCAGTGAGGGCAAGGACAAATATGGCCTAAGCTCTCCCTTGCACCTCACTCTGTATGAGGCATGTGGAATGGACTCAATGAATGAGTTTTAGAGTCAGATAGAATCTATTTTTCTTGTTTGTTCCAGAGCTGTTAGACTTTGAGAAAGACCTCAGAGCTCACACACTGAGTCCAGTCCCCATCATGGGCATGGGCTATGCCTGAGAGTCCCCAAAGGGAATTGTTCAGAACCACCTTGAGCCACCAACCCACACTCACTGCGTGCGCTGTGACTCCCCACTCTGCTTTTAGGACGTGGCGGCACAGCAGGAGGAGAGGCGTGTGGGCTTCAGAGTCAAGAAAGACCTGAGTTTGAATCCTGGCTGCATATCTTCTAGTGTGTCGCCTTGGCACTCTTCACTTTTCTTACTGATAAGAGGGGTAACATTACTAGCCACTCTGCAAGGCTGCTGTTTTATTGAAAATCAGATCATGTTGGCAGATGTCAGATCACAAGAAATGTAGAGGCCATCACTGCCTTCCTTCTTGGTCAGGGAGAGAGATAAGATTTGTCCCTGTGGGGACCAATGAGACAGTTCCACAGCTCTGATTATATCCATGTGCCCTCCCCAATTGTCGTTAAGTGAGGCTACGTGCAAGTGTGCTTAGTCACTTCAGTCGTGTCTGACTCTGTGTGACTCTGTGGACTATATATAGCCTTACATGCTCCTCTGTCCATGGGGTTCTCCAGGCAAGAATACTTGAGTGGGTTGCTGTGCCCTCTTCCAGGGGATATTCCTGGCCCAGGTATCAAACTCACGTCTCTTACATCTCCTGCCTTGGTGGGTGGGTTCTTTACCACTGAGTCACCTTGGAAGTCCCTAAGTGAGGTTTATTTCAATTCAGTTCAGTCTCTCAGTCGTGTCTGACTGTGACCTCATGGACTGCAGCCCGCCAAGCTTCCCTGTCCATCACCAACTCCCGGACCTTGCTCAAACTCATGCCATCCAACCATCTCATCCTCTGTTGTCCCCTTCTCCTCCTGCCTTCAATCTTTCCCAGCATCAGCGTCTTTTCCACGGAGTCAATTCTTCTCATCAGGTGGCCAAAATATTGGAGTTTCAGCTTCAGCATCAGTCCTTCCAATGAATATTCAGGACTGATTTCCTTTAGGATTGACTGGTTGGGTAAGTGAGATTGTCCAGGGGAAAAAGTTAGAGGGAAGTTTGTCTTGTGGGTAGCTGGGCTTCCTTCCCTTTGGGTGTGGTTGTGGCCTAGACGGGCCACAAGGGAGTGTGCCCCAGGGTCTCCTCTGGCAGAATCTGGGTCCTTTGGTCTTTACCTGACCAGTCTCTGACCTGGGACAGCCCCTTATACCCCTAGGCATGGGGAGGATAACTCCTGGCTCATTTGCAGCTCTGGGCTGTAGCAGACATCCATGTGAGGATTTTTTACACACAGAAGTGCTGGGTAAACAGTGGGGTCACCTCTGTTTCACTGTGAGCACTACTGTTTCCTTAAAGAAACTTTAAGAAGTAAAAGCGTTTGCACTGTGTCTCGGTTCAAAACTTTTTTTTTTTTTAAACAGCAAAAAAATAGGAGGGAACAAGCTTACAAAGAAAAAAAAGGATTTGAGCCAATAGCTCCAACTACATTGTTAGCCAAAGAGAAGACGTGAGGAACAGAGACTGGTCTCCAAGGGAGTTTGCCTGAGCCAAGATGAGCTGCAGCCAACCCCCTGGGCTGGGGGCCAGTGCTTCCTCAGGGGCTCAGCGCCTTGCCCGCCCTCCCAGGCCCGGCTTCTCCCTCTGTGTGGAGGCAGGAGGTCATGCTTCTTTTGCCTCCCATTCCTATCCTGCTGTGGAGCTGGCTCGACTTCCTTCACCTTCACCTTCCATATTTCCCTGACCTGGGACTTGTTTCCCAGCCAGTTTCCTGCTCTGCTTAGCTCCCTTCCAGCCCAGGTTCCGCTGCTGCCCTAGGAGCACAGGTGAAGCCCTGGAAGAGGTATCCCCCTGCTCTCTCCTTTCCCCATGGGCCTATCCAGGCCAGGTGGTGCTCCCCAGGCTGCCTGTGGTTGAGGATGCTGACCTCCCTGGCCCAGGCCTACGGCCCCTTCCTTAGATTACAGGCTGGGTGGAGGCCTTGGCAGTGAGCTTGCCTGAAACCTGAAATCCATCCAAGGGCCAGTTAGAAAAGGATGGGGGCGTAGAATAGACCAGAGAGCTTTTGGGTAGGTGGCTGTCACTGGCAGCCATTGAAACCTTACCTAGGCCCAACTCAGAGTGCTGATGGATGGGGAGGCCGACTGGGAAGAGGCTTTCAGATGCCCCCGCCACCTTGGGAGTGAGCTACCTGCTGGCTGGTGGCCATGCTGGTGTTGGCTCCTTTTGAGTACAGTGTTAAAAGACAGATGGAGTTGATGGGAAGGCCTGGCTCCAGGGAGGAGGTGGAATACATTCCCCTGTCCTGGTGGGATAACCAGGTGACTGGGACAAGCACACCTAGGGAGGAGAGAGTAGAGCCCATGAGCAACTCACTGTCAGCCGCTCTGATCCCCTATTTTGCAGATTGGGAAACTGAGGCCCAGAGAGGGGAGGAACCCATGCAATAGCAGAGCCTGGTCAGGAGCCCAGGCTCCGAGGGTGCCCGGCCCTGTGCCCTCCTCCTTCACCCCCTGCTGCCTCGCACCAAACCAAGCAAATCCAGGTACTCAGCGCACCAGTGCCCCAAAGGGCTGTAAACCAGCCGACTGGCAGGGGGGGTGCACTTTCTCAAAGAGGAAAAGTGTTTCATGATCAACTGTGTCTCCTGGTGCGCGAGGGTCCCCACCTCCCCAGGTATAAATCAGGCTGGACCTTCCTGAAGAGGTTCTTGTTCTCCCACTTGATTCCCAGTTGCTGGAAATGCTGATAAAGTGATCATCCAAGCGCATGCGTGGCGGGAAGTTTTTGGGTCAGAGAGGGACCTCAAGGAGGTCAGCTTTCAAGATGAGCTGTTTTGACATCTCAGACCCATTTGTCTCCATATATCCAATTGTACACGTTCTCTTGTTTTCTGATGCCATCTCCAGTGGGGAGCAGAGAGGCTGGGTGGAAGGGGTGGAGGAGAGGATCTGTGGATGGGGTGTGAGAGGGTATTTGATGTGGGGTTCCTTGAGGTGGTGGCGAGCGGAAGACCATGTGACTCTCACGTAGTTGTCCATCCTCCCACTCCCTCCCCTTCTCATCTGTTTCTCACCCAGGCCACAGCCTCCAGACTGCTCTCCCCACTGCCGTCTCCCCACTTCCGTCTGGGCTTCCCACTGCTTACATGATAAACTCTAAACTCTTTCACTGCAGTCTTTAACTTGCTGTATCTTTTTGTTGCCACGGACCATTCACCATTCTAAAAACCTGCCCTCTGGGCTTTTCCTGCCTGCTTCTGCAAGCCCTCCTTCCCTCCTCCAGCCACAGGAGCCTCCTTTCAGTCCTTGGACTCAGCAAGCACAGGCCGCCTCTGCACCTGCTGTCCCTCTGCCTGAAGCCCTTTCTGCTAACCAGCCCGTCCCCAGCCCCATCTTGACCTAGTCCATGCCCACCTCCTCTCACACTTACTGAACTTCCAGGTGTGCCCCCTTGGCACCTGCCTCCTTTCCTCTCACCTTCTCTTCTCCTCCACAGACCCTCAAACAGAGCACAGAAATACTCAGGACTCTCATCTCCTCGTGATGATGAACTGCTCAGTGAAGTGAAAGTCGCTCAGTCATGTCCGACCCTTTGTGACTCCGTGAGCTATACAATCCATGGAATTCTCCAGGTCAGAATACTGGAGTGGGTAGCTGTTCCCTTCTCCAGGGAAATTTTCATAACCCAGGGATCGAACCCAGGTCTCTTGCATTGTGGGCAGATTCTTTACCAGCTGAGCCACCAGGGAAACCCAAGAAGAGTGGAATGGGTAGCGCCTATCCCTTCTCCAGTGGATCTTCCCAACCCAGGAATCAAACTGGGGTCTCCTGCATTGCAGACGGATTCTTTACTAGCTGAGCTACCAGGGAAACCCTGATGAACTGCTCAAGGGCAGGCCTATTCCTCATTTACTGTGGGCTGCCAGTCTAGCCTTTAGTAAGTGCTTAAGAAAACATTTGTTAAGTCAAAAATCATCTTTCTTACTGGCCTGAGAGCTCCTCCAAGGCGAGACCTGTCTGTATCACCAGGATGATTGGGGCAGTACTGGCCTCATAGATTGCCCACAGATGCTTAGCCAATTGAATTTCAATGATGCTGTTACTGGGTAAGTGATCAACAGTGTCTTTATTTTGAAACCCGTCCCACTTGTAAAAAGAAGAACTCCCAGCCTGTCTTGGTTACCAACCATTTTTGGTTTTCAAAGATGAAAAGCAATTTGCCACAAGTAGAGAATGACAAATACTCAGGATGGGAGAGGAAGAGGAGGGGGAATCAATTATGGGAGTGGGGGGATGATGGGGGCTGTCAATCCTATCTCCTGAGCTTTCCTTCTGCGAGTGAGAAGGAAAACAGAGGAAGGCTATTCTCAGAAAATCCCATTTTCTCCTTAAGGCACCAGGAAAGTGTTGAATCCTTCCTTCACTGTTAGGCACCAGAGTCTATGAGCAGTAAGTGTTTCAGTTATATTGGAGGTGCTGCCTCAGGTTGCAGGGACTTTGTGAGCCACTTGAATGAAACTCCTGCATTATTCAGAATTACAGTTTAACGATGTTTCCAAAAGTATTCAATATCTCCCCCAACTCTGGGCTTTCAGCAATTAAAATGAAATTATGTTGGTCATTGAACTGTATTTGTTAAGCGCCGCCTAGTTCCTACTCTTCTGATATTTAAATTTTATTGGGATGGGACAGATTAAACACATACACACATATACGAGTAAACAAGGTAATATCAGAGTATTCTCTGCAGATATTAACTCTGGGCAGGTCAGGGAAGGCTTCTTGGAGGAGGCGACTTTTGCGCTGAGGCCAGCCACAGAAGCTGATGAAGAAGGGCACTCCAGGCCTAAGGCACAGCAGGTGTGTGTTCGGAGCCAGCCTGCTGCTTCCAAGGTCTGAAGAGAGAGGGAAGGAGGAAGAGGACCACAGGAGATGAGTGGGTCCCAGAGGTGGCAGACAGCAGATGCTATCCTTTTTTTTTTTTTTTTGATGGTATCCTTAATTCAGTGATTCACAGGGAACAGGGCTTGGTGGAGAGAGAATGGACTCAGGAAATGGATTCTAGGTTAGGCTCCACCACCAACTTCCCCTGGGACAGGTGCGGGGCAGGCACTCTCAGTCTTTCCTTGGAGCTCGGCTTCACAAGTCTGGGGGAGGTCTGGCCATCCCAGCCCTGAAAAGGCAGGCCATTGCCATGCACCTCTACTATGCAGCAGATGGGAACCGGAGACACGTCCTCTGCTCCGTCGACACCAGTTTGCCAAAAGGAACCCAGCACCCTTCCAGTCGCACATTCCTAGGGGTCTAGGCAGAGCCCCGTTTTAAGATGAAAACTGCTCCTCCACGGGGGTGACTCTTGCCTGTTGCCTTTCCTCAAGCCAATGGCTGGTCTACAACTGGCCAGCTGTCGGCCTGGGTTCCAGGCTGATGGGGTGGCTGGATTGATAGGAAGTTCCGTGGCAGCCACAGGGGACTCCAGGCTCCCGAGCAACTGGCCGCGGCCCAGCACTGTCCTCCCTCCTGACTCAGCATGACGGGAGTGTAGATTTTGGCGAGTGAAGGCCACGCACCAAACTCATGCGTGGCAACCAGGGACCACCCAGCCCTGAACAGTTGGCTCACCAGGTTTCAGGGAAGGCTATTTTCATGCGCAGATTTGTTTTTCCTGGCACTGGGATGGCCTCGTGCTTCAGGGCAGTGACTTGAGGCGCCTCTGTGGGCTCTGTTTACACAGCGAGGGGAGAGAGATACACTTTTCTGTGTCAACAGAAGGATGCTTGGGAACAGGACCGTTTATAACCCGTTAAACGGCCCGTCCCCACAGACGCCGGGGCCCCTCCTGCGTGCGGATAATGTGTACAATATGTGAAGCGCTTTGGGCGGGCCGGCAGCACGCGCTGGCCAAGCACTTCTGTTCTGAATAACCCTCTGCGGCAGGGCCAGCTGATTCATACCAGGGAGAGGCTTGCATGCCTCGGCACCCAGAGAATCCCAGAATTCCCAGGAAGTAAGGGGGATCCCCGGGAAGTGAGGAGGATCCCAAAGGTCCTTAGCTCGTGATGCCCTTTAAAGAGTCACCTCCTCCCACCAAGTGTATCTAGTCTGAGCATTTTAGAACACCTCCAGGCCATGGACTCAGCTATTCTTTGTGGGTTTGCTCAGCTTGTAGAAACTCTCTTGGACTAGTCGAAGTCTGTCCTCTAAATACACATTCCCCTACAACCCTTTGGGGGTCAGATGAGGTGCAAGTCCTTCTCCAGGACTGTGCTGAGGAAGATAGTTCTCTCCATCTGGGGATCTGGGTTGAAATGCCTGAGTCTCTTCAGCTGTTTCTCCTACCATCTGGTTCTGATCCCACCACCTGGGGGTTCCCACCCTAGCGCAGCTAGGACACTGAGATCCAGGGCTGACATGACACGGTCATCCCGCAGGGAGACAGCAACACTGCCCAGGAAGAGAGCCAGATTAAATGCGTCTCCCTGCCCTCAAGCAGCTCAGCCTAGCAGGAGAGCTAGGATGTGCTCACAAGCAGACATCCAAAGACTCGGGCATGGGGTGGGGGTGGGGGTGGGAGGAGGCCTCAGGTTGTACCCCTTCTCCACTCCATGAAGCCCCCTTTAGTTCACTAGGTAGTGGTCTAGGGTAAGGGCTGGGCACTGTGGTCCCCGGGCTGCAGTGTTCTGGGTCAGAGACCAGGTCCCGGCTGTGCCCTGCCAGGGCCTGGGGTGAGCCGACCGAGGGTGGTGGCGGGGGCCTGCTCTGCCACTCTCCTAGATGCCCGGAAGCCTGAGGGCCTGAGGACTGGCTGCTTTCCCAGAAAACACAGTTCAGTCCGTTGTCTGCCTGGCCTGTCCTTGAGCCCAGGCCCAGCTCTGTCCCATGGCAAGGATCAACAGCGAGCCGCCCCCGCTACTGGAACCCAGGGAGGAGAAGAGTCTCCCAGACTGGAGAGATCTTCCCTGTGGGCCTGGGACCCTGGGCTTACCTCTCCAGCTCTGCTCTGCAGGCGAGGCGTCAGTGGAAGCTGAGTCTCCAATCCAGACCTCTGGGGCTTTCCCTGGGAACTGAGGATTTCAAGGGCTGGATGCGGCTGCATTCAGAGTGGCAGGCCAGCCTCTGGAAAGCTCAGAGGAAGGACTTTGTTATCAGGGAAGGAGACAGGGCAGGGGTCGCCTTCCCCTCCTTGATGAGTGAGTGGCCCCTCTCCTGCCCTTTTCTGCCAGGGCAGGGGCACGGGGTCGATGGCGCCGGAGTGACTCCCTGCCACCCCCACCCCTCAGTCTTTGAGCGATGGGCTTAGCACAGCTTGTGGTTGGTCATCCAGAGGAGACTTTCTGTGCCCTAGATCTGACCACAGTGAGCAGAGAGCCTTTTTCTCCTGGGAACAGTGGGGTAGGCCTGCTGATGGAAGGGAGAGCTGACTCTGAGATGTGCGAGTTTAAAAACACAGAGTGGTCTTGCAGGAAAGGGGGTGCAGGGGTTGGGGGTTTAATCAGGTTACCTCTGGACATGGAAGCTCTTACGACTGAGGGGCAAGGAAAAGAACGCTCTATTTTCAAAATGGTGTGATGTTTGTGTGAGGGATGGGGGTGGAGGGGGGTGGGCAGTGGGAAAGGAGGTGGCCATGTCTCCCTCTTTGAGGCTTCTGCACTGACCAAAGCCCATGAAAGGGAGAATGAAAAGACCTGATTTCTAGTGTCAGCTCTGCCAAAGTCTGCCAGAGCCTGACTCAATGTTCTCATCTGTGAAATGGGGTGTTAAAAATGTGTCGCCTGAAAAATCACCAAGTAGTGACAATTGGATGTGAAGCTTTTTCAACTGTGAGGTGCTATAGATTGGGACTGATGTTGCTGTCATCCGTTGGACCTGGTGAAGAAGCCCCACCTTTTGGGACAAGGATGGGGAGGGGGAGGGGCAGTTCAATGGGCGCTCACATCATTCCTTCCCCACTAGGAGGAGCACTTGGCACTTCCAGAGGATGGACAGTCTGTGTGGCTAGATGAGGGGGTGGAGGGGAGCAGAGTCCGCCCTGCTCCCCCCTCCCCCTGCCCCCACCGTCGCTGCAGGCTTCCCTTAGGGCAAACGTCCATCAGAGCAGTATCTTCCGCCTCCCTCTGCCGGCTCCCCACCCCGCCCTAGCATTGGCAGTGTTTCAGATACCCGGGGCTTAGCGGGGGTGGGGAGAGGGGGAGGCCTGGCCGCCAGGAAGGGTGGGGCTGCCAGGCAGGCACCACCCAGCTGCAGTGTGACCCCGCCAGTCCCGGAAACTCTCCAAACCCCGGACCTCAACGGACGTCCGGCAACTCAGAGGGGAGGCAGCAGGGCCTGCCAGGACGGAGGGCGTGTGGGATGCCTCTGAGGTCCCGTTGAGAAAGGAAGAGCTACGTTTTATCCTACTCTGGAGTCTGATGGCTGTGTGATGTCCTCCCAGTGTTAACAGAAGTAGCTGGGCGGCCTTCAGAAATGCTTTTCCTCCTCAGATCCTGCCATTGGGCGGTGCACGTATCCTGGATTTATTAATTTTAAAAAAGTTGCCACTTGTTGAAGAGTGTTTATCATGTACTGGGC